ACCTCCGACCAGTGTAGACAGCTAACGGGCTTTTAGTGCTGCTGGCAACATTATCACACACACAAAATGTCAAGGCTTTTATCCAAATATGCTGAAATGCTACTGTTCCTCAAGTATAATTTAAACATATTCCAAAAATAAAGGCATTCTTCAAACTGGTGTGCACATTTTTGTTAGTTAATTTTGAAAGTAAAACAGGAATGTTCTATTAGTGATTATTCAGTTAAATGTAATAAACATCAATTTTGTTTTGGGGGGTGGGGCGAGGGGAGAATCCGATCCCAGCCAAAGCTTAGTGGCCAAGTATCTGGACCCAGTATTTGGCCAAATTTTACTACCTGTGCATACCTACTTTATAGTATAGGTTGGGTGAGTTTAGTAATGTAGTGGTCACTTTATAGCATAGGTTAGGTGAGGTCACTAATGTAGTGGTCACTTTATAGTATAGGTTAGGTGAGGTCACTAATGTAGTGGTAACCTTATAGTATAGGTTAGGTGAGTACACTAATGTAGTGGTCACTTTATAGTATAGGTTAGGTGAGGTCACTAATGTAGTGGTAACCTTATAGTATAGGTTAGGTGAGGTCACTAATGTAGTGGTAACCTTATAGTATAGGTTAGGTGAGCTTACTAATGTAGTGGTCACTTTATAGTATAGGTTAGGTGAGTACACTAATGTAGTGGTAACCTTATAGTATAGGTTAGATGAGTACACTAATGTAGTTGTCACTTTATAGTATAGGTTAGGTGAGTTTACTAATGTAGTGGTCACTTTATAGTATAGGTTAGGTGAGTTTACTAATGTAGTGGTAACCTTATAGTATAGGTTAGGTGAGTTTACTAATGTAGTGGTAACCCTATAGTATAGGTTAGGTGAGGTCACTAATGCAGTGGTCACTTTATAGTGTAGGTTGGGTGAGCTTACAAATGTAATTGTCACTTTACAGTGTAGGTTAGGTGAGTTTACTAATATAGTGGTAACCTTATAGTATAGGTTAGGTGAGTTCACTAATGTAGTGGTCACTTTATTGTGTAGGTTAGGTAAGTTTACTAATGTAGTGGTAACCTTATAGTATAGGTTAGGTGAGTTCACTAATGTAGTGGTCACTTTATAGTATAGGCTGGATGACATCCAGCTTTGGGATATCATACTCAATTGTAGGTCACTTCATAGCAAAAGTTTAGTGATATCACTCAGGTTTAGCTTACTTCCTAACAAAATGTTGGATATACTGTTCAGATAAAGGTCACTCCAGAGTCAAAGATAGATTATATTACTCAGATATATGTCACTTCAAGCCAAAGTTGGATGATATCATGCACACATAGGTGCTGCTTTATAGTCCAATAGGGTGATATCACCGATACAATTGCACCAAGATGAATATTATTAAGGTTTAATATTAAGTGTATATAAATAGTGCTTGAATTTGTTGAAAAGAGGAAGTGGGAGGGTTTGTGAAAATTGTTTAAGCTAAATACTATATTTTTCAGTTTTTATGTGTATACTTTATTTATTATTATAAAAGTAACTAAAATGTAAAAATAGGAAACTTATTAGGTTAGATAAAGTTAAATTACATAAGATAATGAAAAATAAGAATTCTTCATGATATATACTTGTGAGCAGCTCATGAGTTACATAATTTGATAAAGTAAGGTGAGCTGCTCATTCACTGAATGATATACAACTTGTGTGGAGGGATTATTAGTTAGACATGGCTCAATGGGCAATAAAACAATAAAATTAAGTAAAAACAGATGTATACTGTCCGGAGTTATAGTATGGAAACTGATAGTTACAAACTCGGTCACAGAGACTGAGCCTGTAGCGAGAGGGTTCATTCGCTCCATCTGTGTACTACTTTGTTGTATTCCTGCCTCACATAACATTTTAAGAAATATAATATAGTTTCTCTCACCAGTCTCTTGCTGCCATACGTATTTATTGTATCATCTATTGAACCTTTCTTTTCTTACAATCTACTAAAAGGTAGAGAGGTGGTTTCAGGTCCTCCTAAAAAGCAGTGGGAAGGAATTAAGTCCCACTTTGAGCACTGTTTGTTAATAGAGCTAGACTATTCATAATCACTGTTTTAAGTTTTTCAATATATACTAAATGAATAGGTCCATTACAGTGAAGAAGTAAAACAGCAGTTGAAACTGAAGGTTGTAACTAGCCCTTAACAATATCTTGTAATTTCTGTCTTCTTTCCTTACAGAGTTTCATTTACAAATCTTAAAAACTATTTGCAGTTTCTAGTGATCACATATATACTGGATGTGGCATGGATGTTGGTGTTGGCATGTTTGGTGATCATATCTTTCATCTTCATGGTGTCCTGGGGACTGTGTAACCAGATAAAGGTGGCAAATGGTCAGAGTCAGTGTATAGATCTCTCTAACTTCGGTAAGGATATGCTTACTTATTTCTTAAATTTTACAGGCACTGACTGTTCCCCCTGTCACCACTTGGCAAAATTTCTTTTATATCAACTATTCTATTCTGTAAAGCAAGTGCAAGTTAAAACTTAATATTTGTGTAGTTAAAATTTATTTCACACTGATACACCTCTTGGTTTTTATTCCTGTTTTGTAAAGTCCTATCTAAAATCTTTTTGATTATGTAATCTCTCCTTCACTCAGTGGCTTTCTGATGTGTGTTCTGACTGGTCTACATCTATCATTTTAATTGTATCTCTGACAGTTCTACTGTGTAGTTCCTTTTCTAATTTGAGTTTGAAGCCAACTAGTGGTAGATCCTATATACTTAGCATATATACAAGTAAACTCATACATTAGACATTTTTGTTCAAAAATCTTATCTTTAAATCTAAAAAATATTGCAATCTACATGTATGTTTGAAAACAGCTTATAGGCCAATTTGAAAGAGTATATATAACTTTAAAAAAAACGTTATATTCTCCACTTCTTTATGAAAATATTCACAAGTGCTTGTAATTTTATAAAAGCAACAAATTAATATTTTCACAAGATTATCTCTTTACTTATTTGGAATAAAGCTAAAAAATTAAAATAGTAAAAGACTTTTATGAAAAACTTCACAGTACAATTTCCCTTGCTATGTGCTAAAACTTGTTTTCAAAATTATTAATTAAGCCTTACTCATATTGCTTTTATTGTGCTTTTAACTGAATACGTAAGCTTCAGGGATAAGAATTGTTTCTTGTTTATTACAGATTTCATGTTTCCATCTGGAACAAAATATGAAAATTTACGCATTTGTTCAGAGGGAAAAGTTAAGGAGTTCTGTAAAGATTATGTAAGTGGGAAAAGTTACAAACATAGATTTAATAGACAGAGCTGTAGTTTCAGCCTGTATGACATTGAAGAAGATAGTAATACAATGTTGCAAGATTTGGATACGCAGACATATTTTAATAAGTTTAGCATTCTATTTGGTGATAATCTCTATTGATACTTAGCTGTTAAACTAAGTTTAGCATTCTATTTGGTGATAATCTATTGATATTTAGCTTCTAAACTAAGTTTAGCATTCTATTTGGTGATAAACTAAATAGATTATCACCAAATAGAATGCTAAACTTAGTTTAGAAGCTAAATATCAATAGATTATCACCAAATAGAATGCTAAACTTAGTTTAACAGCTAAATATCAAGATATTTAGCTGTTAAACTAAGTTTAGTATTCTATTTGGTGATAATCTATTGATATTTAGCTTCTAAACTAAGTTTAGCATTCTATTTGGTGATAATCTATATTGATACTTAGCTGTTAAACTAAGTTTAGCATTCTATTTGGTGATAATCTATATTGATACTTAGCTGTTAAACTAAGTTTAGCATTGTATTTGGTGATAATCTATTGATATTTAGCTTCTAAACTAAGTTTAGCATTATATTTGGTGATAATCTATTGATATTTAGCTTCTAAACTAAGTTTAAAATTCTATTTGGTGATAATCTATTGTTATTTAGCTTCTAAACTAAGTTTAGCATTCTATTTGGTGATAATCTATTCATATTTAGCTGTTAAACTAAGTTTAGTATTCTATTTGGTGATAATCTATATTGATACTTAGCTGTTAAACTAAGTTTAGCATTCTATTTGGTGATAATCTATATTGATACTTAGCTGTTAAACTAAGTTTAGCATTCTATTTGGTGATAATCTATTGATATTTAGCTTCT